CTGCTCTCGCCAGGGACACCTCGGATACGTAAGTCTGGCACTCCCTGCCAGGGCCGTGCCTCTGGCTGGAAATCCAGCCCTGCCCCGCCAGGGAAGCGCTGCAGGAGCTGGTTTTTTCTCTGTAACCTTAAACAAAAATAGGTATCTTTTTATTCATAACAGGAGCCAGGCTGGTGTGTGCCACGGGAGCAGTGTGCCCGCACCCGCCGCAGCCAGCGCGCGAAGGGCGCTCACCCTCTGATCTGGAGATGGGGACACAGAGCTGCTCTCTCTCCTTGGCAGCTTCCTTTGAGACTGCCTGGGAGAGAGAGCCTTCATTGGAAAGCGGTTTCTGAATACAGCTTTTCTCCCCCCTTTCTTTTTGTTCACCTTCAACATCACGTCAGGTTTTTCACCGCGCTCAGCCCAGCTGTCTGAGTGCTCTTTTGGGAATCTCCCATTTCTGCCTGCTTGTGATCATCCCTATTTGTAGTTTCCTAGTTACAGTTCAACATCTGACCTAAGTTTGGCCTTATCCTTCTGTGAGGTGCAGCCTGGTAAAGGAGGCATCATGAGCCTTAAGTGGCTTCAGTAAAACCAGGAAATGTGGCTGCATCTTCCAGGGTGTTTTTATGATATTTATCACCTTTTCTAGTGCCTATCATAGCAAGTTCAGCTCTGTACCTGCAATTACCAGAACAAGAAACAGGGTTTTTTCTTTTATGGAATAAATGCAGGAGCCCAAGCCAAGCCACAAATATTCTAGAAAATTAATGTTAATCCTGCATTGAATAGGTTTAGTTTATTTTTTCCTGTGGCTTAGAAACAGCAAATTGCCAGCATATTCCTCTGTTCCCTTCTGCCTGCTCTTGTGTGTCAGCCCCTTCAACTATCCTGTATGTTTTGTTAAAAACTTGGGCCTTTAGTTTAGTTGACTTTTTATTAAACTGTCCAAAAAATGGCACTGGAGGAAGACAGACACACATGGATACAAGTAAGGCTGCTGTAGAATTAATGAGTAATTATTAGGGATGCTGTAAATCTATTATTGAAGTCATTATTAAGGCTGATGTAAAAATATTTAGAAATTATGTGTATATTATAGCTGATTATATATACTATATTAGTATAGTATTTACTATAGCTGATGGTAAATACTTAGATTGAAACTGGTAGAAAAACAGTTTGAAAACTGGTGGAAAGCCAATTTGAAGTGGTAGAAAACAGATTGAACTGTACAGAATCAGAAAGGGAGGAAAGCAACCCATGGACATTTTCTGTCTGTCAAAGTTAAGGAAGATAAGAAAGTGTTTGTAGTAGTGTACAAGGAGCAGAAACAGCCTGAGCAAGGACTGAATTAAAGGGGAAAACCCAATAGAAGCACAAGAGGACAGAGATACCAGATCTTCCCATGTGCACACTGTTCCCAAAAACAGGCAAAACACTTCCAGGAAAACTGATTCTTCACTACATTTCAGCCAAGCAAATGCCAAAAATAAGCTGAGAAATGCAGAATACATCAAAAACGCATCTCTGATCCGCTGTGCCTCTGGAAGGAGAGAGGAGCAGGCAGGGACAGGGGTTGCCAGGGTGGCACTGAGTGGCAGCAGCAGCACATGCAGGAAAGCTGCTGGTCCCACAGTGCAGACATCATGTGAGCCAAAGCTCCTGGCAGCTCCTGGAGACTGGTGAGGCTCAGATGCCACTGGAGCAGCTTCAAAGTGATGGAGAGTGGAGTTAGACTAGCTGTCAGGAAGGAATTGCTCCCTGGCAGGGCGGGCAGGCCCTGGCACAGCTGGGGCTGCCCCTGGATCCCTGGCAGTGCCCAAGGCCAGGCTGGGCACTGGGGCTGGAGCACCTGGGGCAGGGGAAGGTGTCCCTGCCATGGGATGGGACCAGCTTTAAGGTCCCTACCAAGCCAAGCCATTGTTGGATTCTGCGTTTCTGTGATCTCAGCAGTATCTAAAAGAGAAAGATGATGAAGCAGAGCACAGCAGGTAACAGGCAATTTGCAAGGAGGATAAAGGAGAATAAAGCACCTGTCATAGGAAGTGTTCCTGTTAGCCTGACTCTCAAGACATGGATGAAACTGTGTGCACAGCATTGGAAAACTCACATTCCTGTTCCAGGTGTTTGGGAAACAGGCTGGCATGCATGTGATGCCAGAGTCAGCCCTTCCTCACCTCAGCTGCTCAGGGCTCTCCTGCTCTTCTGTTGCCTCTTGCTGTTCCCTGCTCTCTGAGGCGTGCTGGGCAGCCTGCTGCAGGGTTTGCCTGTGGTTTGTCCCCGTGAGGGAGTGGCACACAGTGACAGCACCCTCCCTGGCTGCTGCAGGCTCTGGCTCCCTCTTTCCTTGGGGCTGCCACCCTCTCGGGTTCCCTGCAGGCAGGATGACCCCGAGTCCCTTTTTCCCAGCCCAATGGTCAAAGAAAGGGTTGGGATTCTTCGCCTCTGGTTCACAGGGTTGTTTACTAAAACATTCTTTTTTGGACCCAGAGAGTTTTCTGTCTAGCAGGTCTGTCAAGGGCACACTGCCCACCCCTGGGCTGGTGTCTCCATTCTATACTATGAATTACGTGTACTTCATTTATCATTATTTCCCAATACCTATCATCACCAATGTTAGACTGTCTACTTCTACTCTAGACCAATCCAAATGTGCCACCATCACCAAGAAGATGGAGGCTGGGAAGAAGAAAGAAGAAAGACAGGACAACACCCAGATCCCTCCATCTTGCCTCCTAGACCCCTGTAGTAAAATCCCCAAAATTCCACTTTCCACCCTGTGATTAATTCATTATCACTCCACTTAAACCTTTGTGACTTGTACTTCTTCATGCACCGTTGGCAATGTGCTCCATGGGTTAACCTCAAAGCCCCGAGTGCCTTTGGCCTCCTGCCAGGACCCCCCAGGCCCTGCCAGGGGCACCCAGGGCACAGGGGTGCGTGCAGGTCCCTGTGCAGGGAGCCTCTCCCCAGCAGCCCGGGCGCCCTGTTTGCCTCGGAGGGCCGGGTGTGTGCTCAGTGCTGGGGCCCTGCCCGTCCCTGTGCCCAGCAGCTCTGTCAGCACTGGCCTGCAGCTGCTCCTCGGGGCTGTGCTGTGCTGTCACAGGCGTGCGGGGGGACGGGCATTGCTCCTGGGTCTCGCTGTGTGCAGGGGGACGACGAGCTGCTCATGAAAATGCCACAAGCACGGGCCAGGACCTGCAGGACCGTTTCACCTCCAGGAGGGCAGCACTCACCCCCCTAGTGACCTGGGATGTGTTTTGCAGGAGTGCTCAGAGAAGAGGATGCAGGGCAACATGTTCCCCACTTCTCCCTTCGTCTACTACTACGACGACGAGTGCGACATCAGGAGGAGAGCCAACAGGTTAAAGAGAAAGGTGGCAGGTACAGTGTGTTTTGGGAGATCCCTCCCCCCTTCCAGGTCTGTGTTTGTGCTTTTTAGAAACACGCTGGGATTACTTCCATGTGTTGGGAAAAGCTGTGGATTTGAACAGGTAGCCTGGTGGTAGTGAAAGATTTGTGACTTTACTCATCCGTGTCTATCATGGAAATTGACTGTGTCAAAGTCACTCAGGGAGCATTGTCAGATGTTTTAATTCTGAAAAATCTGCTGACATTAAAAATGCCATGAAATAGGACAAAGAGGATTAAATCACTATTTGTTAAGATTCTAGCCTGATGACAGGAAAAACCCACAGTGAAGAAATCTGCCAGAGATAAATTTTGTCTAACTTCATTCGTAACAGAGGAGAGGTGTGATGGCTCAGCTGCCCAGTTTTAGGGTTTTTAGGTATTGACATAATCCACTCTGCTTTCCAGACCTGCAGGAAGCTGGCCTTCTGCCAGAACAGTCCGAAACACCATTGCAGGAAGAACACCTTGAGGTGCCCAGCCAGAAGAAAAAGAGCAAACTTTGGAAAGACCAGGGGAAGCAAAGCAGGCACAGCGAGCAGCAGAAGAAGCTGAAGGTGAGCCGGGCAAAGAAAGGCCCGGAGGGGAAGCACAGGAAGGATGCTGGAACCCACGGGGAGCCCGAGGAGTTCCCCCGGGGGAGCAGGCAGCAGGGCTGCAAGGGCAGCAGGGCCCGCCGCAAGGGCCTGTGTGTGCAGCAGCCCCCAGAGGCTGCCAGAAGGAAGATGAAATGGAAAAAGCAGAAAATTGCCAGTCCTGACAGCAGGGACAATCTATTCCTTATAAAGCAGCGGAAGAAGAAGTCCAAACAGAAATCCTGGTGATGGCAGGTAGCACTGGCATTCCCTGCTCTGGCTCTGCCTTGTCTTTACTCCTGCCCCTGGCTTAGCACACGAATTGGAGTCTGTCCTGACCCAGCATGCTGGGCACATCACCCCCTGTCCATCTGCACAGCCACAGGGGACCACTGTATGTTTATTTCCTTTGCTTGGGGGTGTGGGGGCACGCTGGGCTTGCAGGCTCTGTTTGTTCAGCACTGAGATGTGGCTGTGCTGTTGGAGCACAGCACCTTTGGGGCCAGTGCCAGGGAGACGTGGGTCAGGGGTGCTCGGGGTGGAAAGCAGGAACGTGGGTACAAAGCACATCCCCTCAGCCACCAGTCCCCTCCTGGGAGCAGGAGGGCACTGGGCACTTCCCTCCCCCTGGAAGGGACAGCCAAGTCCCTGCTTTGTGCTTTGGGATGCAGCAGTCCCCCACCTCACTCTCCAGAGCAGTGCCATCCAATCCTTGCCCTCAGGGCTCAACTTTTGGGGATACATTCTGTCCTAACCAGCTGCTCAGCAGAGCAGGAATGAGCAGCTGGGCCTGGAACAGAGTTTACATCTCACACTAAATCTGTCCTTGTTCCTTGTAATGTGTTGGAGGAAAAAGGAGTGGAGTATGAAGAACACACTTGGTTCCAGTCACACTGTGCTAAAATTTAATTTTTTTTAAAGACAGTTATTTTTGTACACTGGAATTCAGCATGTTGTTTTAAGGTTTGTAAGAGTAAAATGCTTTATCAAAGGACTAACACAAATAAAACTTTACGTGAGAAATATGAAGAGAATGGGTTTGTTCCTCATTTCCTTGCTTTCCAAACAAAATTGAAAACAGCATCATGTTCTCTTTCCTGAGCTGAAACTGCATCACCCCTGGCAAGAGTAAAGCAAAAAATGCATTTATACTCCACTGTTGTGAAAAGGAAATTATCTGTACCCTGCTGCTCTGTGATGTGCTCCCCTGAGAGCAGCTGATGGTGACAGCAGTGTCCCTGAGGTGCAGCTCCTCTCCCTCTGCAGCATTCCTGTGTTGAAATTAGAGACTATTTATACCCTGAAAGGGTACCTGGAAAGGGACATGGGCACCCAAGAAAAATTTGAGGACTCTCACTATGCCAGTGTTATCCCATGCCAGTACTCCCTAAATTCATCAGGTTTTTTTTTAGCAAACTCAGCGTGGGAGCAGAGGTGTTCTGGTGGCCGTGTCATCCTGTTTCAGAGGTACTGGTGAGATACACCTGCATAGTATTTGCAAACTTGATTTATAGCTTTGCCTCAGTGTGACCTTGGTAACAAAAACAAGCTTTGCTTAACTTCATTTATTGCTTGATTGAAAAATTCCTGATGATACTGAAAAGAAAATCAGTTTTAGCTGTACTGAAAAAATTACTATGTTAATTCCACCCCTGAAAAGGCTTGTTTTTGACATGGAAACAGCTCTTTTCCCAGGTGCTGAGTTGTACATCCCTTTCTGGTTTTGAATCCCATGTTTCCTTTGAGCAAAAGTCACCACTGGCCAGCACCAAACCAGCACAAACCGGGCAGACAGGAGGAGGGCTGTGTGCAGTGTGGCTTTGGCCATCTGGCCAGCTGGGGTGTCTCGAGCTGAGTGCATTTCCTGCACCTCAGAGGTGCCTGAGCATCACGCCCGTGCAGTGCCAGAGGTGCAGCAGGGCAGAGCTCCTCTGAGCCCCCCTGAGCACCAGGTCCCTGCCAGCAGAGCAGGAGCCAGGCCAGGGGCAGTCCCAGCCTCTTCCCCTGCTGCTCAGGGGGCTCGGGCAGGAATATTTTACCTTGGCACTGCTGGGGGCTGTTCCAAGCCTGCTGGGTGCTGCTGGGCACGCCTGCCTGCCTTGGGAAGGTGATGGCACTTCAGGCACAGTGACTCACACCCCCGCGAGGTCTGGCTGCCCTGGTGGCTCCTGCCTGTCACCTGCTGTCACCACCAGCGTGGCCTGTGGGGGAACTGCCTCTGCAGCTCCTGCAGGCACCAGCCCCACAGAGCCCTTGCTCTGGGAGATGCCTGCTGCTTGCAGGACAGAGAGTAAAAGATGGGGGAAGCACGATTTTCAGGACCATGGGAAGGGGAAAAAGGGAAGCAGCAGCCCTGGAAGCAGAAGGGATCTGGGTGAGGGAGCATCCTCCAGGCCCCAGGCCAGGATCCAGCTGGCAGGCAGCAGCACTGGCACTGTGGGAAAAGAAACAAGATCCTGCAGTGGCACATCCAGCCTGGGGCATGGAGCAGGGTGAGTGTGGGTCCTGGCAGGGAATGACATCCACTCCAGGACTGACCAGTGTCAGGCTTGGCAGAAATTGCACCCAGCAGGGCATTCAGGGGAGAACTGGCAGGTCTGGATAGTCCCAGCGAGGAAAGGGACAGGGATAAGGCTGGCTTTTGGCTGGCAAGTGCCTGGGTAAATCAGCTGTGACATAATTTGGGGCCTGCAGCTCGGAGCACAGCGGGTTGCGTCCAGCAGCCAGTGCCACCCAGCTCACCCTGTAAGGCTTCTGTGGGCAGCTGGGGGATCTTGGAGAGTTCAGCACGAGAACAAAGCAGCAGGAGATTGTTTACGTTCAGTGAGGAGCAGAGGACAAGGAACAAGGCAAAGAGGGGTGGATTTCCCAGCATCATCAATATCAGAGGTCAGGTGCTGTGAAAGGGCAGTGCTGTGTTGGAGCCTGCAGCAGGCCTGGCAGCTGGCAGGCTGAGCTGCTTCCGTGGAGCTCTGCTTCATCCCAGCAAAGCACAGTGCTCCTCAGCCTGTCACTCCTCCCGCCTGCTCTCCCCCTCCTTTGGGGAGCTGTCAGTCCTTACTCCAGAGATGCCTGGGACTGGAAAACATGCTCATCCCAGGAGAGGACGGTGTCTCGAGGTCGCCGTTGATGTGCACTGGTGAGGCAGCATGAGGAAACCTACATTGTGTGAATAAATAAAGGGCTGCAGCTCAGGCCCAGCACTGCACAGGAGACAAGACGGGTTGATCAGAAGGTCAGAGTCTTGTTGGGTAATGGGGGCAGCTGTCCCAGGAGTGAAGAGGGGAGAAGGGAGTACTGGGCCCATCATTTGCTGCAGCCACTACACAGAGAGGTTGAGGGAAGAAGGAGTGCTGAGATTTGAGGTGTCTGTGTCCTTGCACACCTGTGGGGGGAATTGGATGTGTCTTTGTCACATAGCACGGGTCTGGCTCTTCCTTGAGGTGTTCCTACCCTACAGTCTGTCTCAAAACACCAGTCTCTGTCCAGCTGCTGTGCAGGGACCATCACCTAACCACAGGGCCACCCTTCGGCAGCAGCCCCGGCGCTGACACCGGCCCAGGCTGGCTCAGCCCCGCTGTGTGAGAGCCAAGACGAGGCATGCGGGCTCCAGGGGCTCTTCCAAGTGCATTTATCACACCCAAGCAGTCACAGCCCTTCCAAGTGCATTTATCACACCCAAGCAGTCACAGCACTGCAGGCCGTGGGTGACAGAGCCTGAGCCTCAGCTCTCAGCTGCAGGGCAGGCCTGGGGACCCTGGGTTTGGGTTACAAATGCATTCTGTGCTTTGCTTTGCTGAGCACCTTCATACAGCAGAACCAGTCTGTGCCTGAACCTTGATCTGCAGCCCATCAGAACTACTGCAATTACCACATTCATGGCACTGTTCTCCAGGCACTGAAAGTTACTACATTGCAGTTTAAGGTAAGAGTTTTCTTGCAGTGGAAAATTCTTTTTTCTACTTGCAACATCTGCTCACTGTTTGCCTGTGGAGTCTTCCTGCTTGGTAAAAACATCTTCTTGTTTGAGGTGGGTTTATCCTTTGCTTTGAGCCCTAAAACCCCTTATCACTAACAGGCCCTTTGCCTCCTTGGTTATCCAGTGAGAGTGGCTCAGCAATTCTTTCCTTCTGTATCAAAAATTGCTTCCATCTCTATTCCTTCCTCAGCCTCTGCATTCAAAAATCTTTCTGCCAAGCATTGATATCTGTGAGACTCTCTTGTCAAACCCATCCTTCCCAGCCCCGCTGCAGACCTCGTGTCGCTGAGGAGCTGCTCCAGGCACACCTGGGCTCATCACCCCACCAGGTGGGCGCTGGCACAGCGAGGATGGGCCCTGCCCTGCTGCACCTTCGAGGGGGCTGGGGTGACAAGGGCAGAGCGGGGTCACTGACACCCGACCGTGGCACCGCAGGGCACAGCAGCCAGTAATTGCACTTTTTTTGCATTGCAAAATGATTATTAGCACCTCAGTTCATTATCAGAGCAAATTTAATTTTTCAGTGTAAAGGAGCCAGTTGTATTTATAAAGGAAACACTGTTGATACAGCAGGAAAAAAATTAATTCATGACAAATGTAAGGAAAACTAATAGTCTTTAACCAGGGCAATATTTGACTGTGTCTAATTGTGCTTTGCAAGGTTTGAAAAGTCCTGGCAGAAATTCTTGCAGAGGCATTTTGCACTTCGCCTGATGAAACTGCATTTAAACATTGGGGCTTTTTTTTAAATTAACCTTGTGCCCGTCTGGTTAAATCATAGAAATACTGTTGTGCAAAGCTGGTGTTCTCTGGTGTACCTATGCCCTGGCAGGGCATTGTGTGCCTTTGGGAAGGTCCTGTCTGATCCAAATCCACTCAGAAAAGGAGGAGGAGGGAGCAGAGGCGATGCCGAGGGCGGAGTGGCCGCAGGAGCTGCCGGAGCTGGGGCTGAGCTCGCCCTGGAGCCGAGTCCAGCACAGGGGGACAAGCCCGGCTGAGGCTGCCCTGCCTGCTTGGGTCAGGGCTGCTCCTGCTGGGCTCTCCGGAGGGGTGACAGCCCCGCTGTGCCGCAGCCCCACCGAGGCACCTCCTCGGTGCCGAAATGCGGGGTGCAGGCACGGTCGTGTCTGGCTGCTGAGGGCTGGAGCGCTGGCTCAGCGCTGCGCTGCCGCTGCTGCGGGAACGCGACCCTCGGGGCCCCAGGGGAGGAGAGCCCTGGGCAGGCCGGTTTCCCGTGGGGTGCAGGTGCTGCAAAGGGACATTGCCCGCAGTGTCCCCGCTCAGCCCCGCGGACAGCCCCGGCCCCTCGCCCTCCCACCGCGCTCGGCTCTCCTCGGGACGCCTTGGAAAGGCGCCATCTCCTCAGCTCGGCTGCCAACTCGAAGCCAATTTGCATTGGATAATTATTTTCAATTAAGTGATAACAATCGTGTTCGGAACAGAAATAATCTTGTCCGAAGGCCAAACAGTTTATCCGCTCTCGGAGATGAGGCAGCCGCTCCGTGCGGGGCCCGGCAGCGCCGTTATCGCCGGGGGCTGCGGCCCCGCTCCCCGCGGTCCTGCTCTCACCCGCGGGGGTCCCCGAGGAGCCGGGGAGCGCTGCTCCGCTCGGTGTCCCCGCTCCGGGCCGCGGGGCTCAGCCCGCCCGGTCCCGGTGCCCCGCAGTCCCGCACACGGCGGGCACGCACCCGCCCCGGGCTGCGGGAGCCGCTGCCCCGGCCCCGCTCCTGCCGGTCCCGCACGGACAGAGCCACCGGAGCCGCTGCCCCGGCCCCGCTCCTGCCGGTCCCGCACGGACAGAGCCACCGGAGCCGCTGCCCCGGCCCCGCTCCTGCCGGTCCCGCACGGACAGAGCCACCGGAGCCGCTGCCCCGGCCCCGCACGGGTCACTCCGTCCGGCTGCCCCGTGCTCGGCATCCTCCTGGCGAGGAGCCGGCCGCTGCAGAGCCGCCCCGGGCCCGCGGACACCGCCCGGCCCCGCTGCTCCGTGCCGGGGCTGTGCCGGTGTTCCCGGCCCCGCTGCTCCGTGCCCGGGCTGTGCCGGTGTTCC